TTAAGTAGCAGTAGTTTTACCGACCCTTCCGGAACACGTTGTCTGTTCTTATTTTTTTCTGCATGGCCATCCCGTCTTTCTTGCTAACGTATAGTGAAAACTAGGGTACTTCGTTAGAGATGTGTCTCAGTTTGCTGCAGATTGCCATGCGTTCTTTCCGTTCTTCGTTGGGTGCATTTAATGTTTCCACCCAGGAAAGTGGCATTTCATGTCTTAGTTCCGTACTTCGGAACTAGTAAAACTGTACAGTTAAAAGGGGGCTTTATGTTAGTATTGGGAAAAACGTTCCGTATCTTGCTAAAGTTGAACTGTTCTGCTTTTTTCGTTGCCTATTTTCAGCCCAGTTAGTTTCTAGGTGTATTCAAGACCGTAGATTGTACATTCAGAAATTTAAGCTCCCGTAGTCCTGGTATTAAATTATCTAGGTGATGGAATTAATACGCTGATGAGATTAATATATGAGCATTTGCGTGATTCAGAAACATATAAAAATGGGTTTGAGATCCATCTAAAAGAGAGTGGGATTATGTGAAAATTTCGGGTAGAATCGAAATGCGCTGAAACAAATTTTTAATGAAATTGAAAATTTCAGGTTTCAATAATACCGCGCGGTAAAGGACTCGGTTATGCTCAGTATCTACCGAAGGAGCAATATCTCTATTCAACAGAACAGTTACTAGATCGTATGTGTATGATATTGGGAGGGCGTGTATCCGAAGAAATTTTTTTTGGTCGGGTCACCACTGGTGCTCAGGACGACTTACAGAAAATCACGGAAATGGCTTATTCTCAGGTTATTTAGTTTTGCAACTTCTTCCCGAAACAACTTCTGTGATGAGCTTTTCCCTAATAAAATTTCGTTCTTATGACTTTTTTTAGACTGATATGTATGAGGTAAAAAAGTTTCAGGGGCTTGCTGATTAGACACTTTGCAGGTTGTGAAATTTGGTATGAGCAAAAAAGTTGGTCCAGTATCATTCACGGAAGGTTCTAATTTTCAAAAGCCTTATTCTGAAACTACAGCTGAACTCATCGATCAGGAAGTAAGTCACTGCTGTTGTATTTCATTCTGTGAATGAACGCAAGCAGACGGGGTTTTTTTGCATTTCTATGTTTTTACACTGTTTCTTTCTTCAGGTGCGCGATCTCGTTGATATGGCTCATAAAAGGACACGAGAATTATTGGATTCGAAGAAGGAGCAGATTGAATCTGTAAGGCTATAAGTACCTTTTTGTAAAAGACTTTTCGAGGAACTGAGCTTAAAATTGCCCTAAGTTTGCTGGATTTTTCTTTTAGCACAATAATAATTTAAAAATAAATCATATTCCCTGCGCACTTGCTCTCTGCAAAAAGAGAGTAGCCATTTGAAGTACGTTTGATGAATGGCGTGTATGCATGGAGATGGTTGGTGGGTCGAAATCGAAACAAGTCGCATACAGAAAGGGAGAGTCTGGCATAGCAACGCTTGGCATGTGTCCATCAATAAGGTCGACATTATGAGTAGTTAAAATTGTTGGTTTTACAAAAAATTAAAGTAGCGGTTCGCAGCGTAGTTCTAGAATTTTGTGGCCCAGGCTTAAACATGGGTTTGCTGCGCCGCTAAGGCCGTGTATATTTTTTCGGGTTTCGATCATTTAAATTGATTAAGTCGCGTTTAATTTGT